ATACAAGGGAAAGTTTCCGAAATAGGACTAAAACAATTTGATAATTCCAAAATAGGATTGTCATGTTTTTTATTCCCAAAATAGGAGTAATTACTGCCAAGTTTGGAAAATACTGCCATTTTTGAAGTCTAGTACTGCCAAAACATGGCAGTCTTATTTTGGAATTTTCAAACCTTTTTAGTCCTATTTCGGGTAATATTCTCAAAATACAATTATTGCTACTTTTATTTTAGTACTCCATATTAGATTAGTTTCACAAAGCATCCAAATTATGAATAAAATATGATTATGTGCAAAAATATGATCATTTTTATTGTTTTTTAAAAATGGAAACTTTTCACCAAAACCTAAAATAGTATTGTAGCATTTACTCGATATCGTGTTTACTTTTTTTTAATTGTGCCCCCAATAATAAAATATCCTAGATCTGCCGCTGTCTGCAGCCTAGATCTGCCACTGGACTTAGTTCTCCCTTTCAGACTTTTGTGACTTGCTCATTAATTCTTTGTCGAGAAATTTGTTGATTTAGTCCCGTAACTTATAGATATACCCGATATTGGTCCGGTAACTTTAGTAACTTGCAGATTACATCCCGTAACTAATAAGTTGGTGCAATTTTGGTCCTTCTCTGCCGGAACTTACCAATTTCGCCGGAAAAGACACATCACCTGTCACATGGTATATTATTTGGAACTCATTTGCTGACTCAATGTTGGCCCTCAGCTAGAGTTAAGAAAATTATTTCTTCTTGGTTGCAGCAAGAGCATTTTGAATGAAGTTTAAAGCTTTTTGGATTCATGTTTTAAGAATAAAGCATTTGAAATGTTACATCATCTTCATTTCTCACATCTTTAACATGAGAAAGACCAGGAGCAAAAACACTAGCCCCACAACAACTATGAGGAGCCTTTTATTTTTAGCCTTCAACTTTACAACCTCTTCCTCTTTTGAGTTGAGTCTTCTAACCAATCCCGGAATCATCATCGTTCAACGATGGCACATAGGTGGGTCCGCCCATTCAAAAAATCTGCAACCTTCTGTCTGTATCAAAACAAGATGAAGCTTAACTTACTTTTTACTGCTTTGAACACAAAAATACATTATCAAATGCCCCCAACAAATAGAAGATGGTAATTTTATTAGCAGAACCTAGCTTAAAATATAGAATACATTTTAATTTTCAAACAAATTTATTATTCAAATGCTATTCTTAAATTTCTAGTTTATTTAGTAAAAAAAGAAGCAAACAATGTAAATTAAAAAGCTGAACTTCTTACTCTGCTTCTAGCGCACACACGGAACCTCCTTCCAGGATCGTTGTCAGTCCAAGAAGTTAGAAGAGAAACCTTTTTACCACAATCACACTCCATAAACTTTTGTCTGATCGAGAGGCGTTACTAGCATATTTGAAGAATAACTCACTCTCTCGACTTAGTTCAGGAGAAATCTTCAGGTAGAGTTATATGTTCTTCCCCCCTTTTGCAGATCCGATAATAGGCTTGGTATGGTTGTGCACGCACTTAGCGAAGAGCTTTCGTACACTGGTTTTTTAACTCCAACTAAGGGCCAATATTGAGTTAGCAAATGAGTTCCAAATAATATACCATGTGGCAGGTGATGTGTCTTTTTCCGACGAAATTGATAAGTTCAGGCAGAGAAGGACCAAAATTGCACCAACTTATTAGTTACGGGATGTAAATTGCAAGTTAATAAAGTTACAGGATCAATATCGGATATAGCTATAAGTTATGGGACTGAATCAACAAATTTCCCGATAGGCATTGAGTATCCACTCCGAATTTGGGCTATCGCTCAAGCCCATAGTACCATCACCAGCCTCATACACTCTTCAATAGGCATGGCAACGGGTCGGGTCGGGGCAGGTATTGCAAGACCCAGACCCGCCCCGTGACTTGGCAGGGCGGGTCCGCCCGCCTCGTGACCTACACGGGTCCAAATTTGTTGACCCATAACCCGCCCCATGCGGGGCGGGTCCACCCTGCCGTAACCTTATTAGCTAGTATGTATTTTTATTTGTGGGAAGTTACCAATTGCATCTACATAAAGTTTATCTCTAAATAATAATTAAAAATTAATATACTAAATCAAATTCATGATACCCTAAAAATTTCAAAAATTAACGAAAAATTATTCAAACTTGAATAGTTAATCTATTTAATTATATTAATAATTGAACATATGTATTAAAATGCTATATATAAAGAAGACATTGATAATCTGTCGTTCATCTCATTCTAATATATGTATTAATATATTATAAGATCAAAGAATTTATGATTTACTGTATACACACAACATATGTATGTTGAAGTATATTTGTAGTATAATTTAAGAAAAAATATGTATGCCTATGTATTGAGCGGGTCGGGGCGGCACGGGTCAATACTAATGCTCGGACACGCCCCATTGTATAGGCGGGGCGGGGCGGGTCAGACCTGCCCCAAATGTCTCGGACCAGGGCGGGTCACTGCGGGTCGGTTTTTTTTTGACAATTTCTCCCTTCGCATTAGTGCTCATGCCTTTTGCTAGAAACCCAAGAGGCAGAGAAAGTTTCTTCAGTTCTTCTGTTGTCTTCACAGGTCAGTTTCATGTGTTCATCCTCTCCAAAATCTTCATAAGAACATGTTCCCCTCTGCGTCGTTTTCTCAGACGAGGAGGGTTCCTCCTGCGATTGCACTCTCGGTTCATCGTGGGTAGATACTCATTTCTACCTCCCCTCAAATTTTGCTCGGGGTGTCCTCACTGTTTCCCTAGGTTTTGTGGGGACATCCTCAAAATCCTCAATTTTAGTCGGGACATCCTCAACATCCTTTTCTGATAGTGATCATAAGTTTTCTCTTTTGGCTTTGAGCTGAATGAGGACATGCAGAGCTTGTTAGAGGAGGAGTTCTTCTTTTGTTCAACTTTGAGTTCAGGAATGCGAGCTATTTCTGTATTTCTAAGAGTTATGCATCACAATAATCTTCTTCACTGTCATCACTCACAGGAGCTTGTTTGGGTTGTTTCTCCTTCATCAACGCTAATTTATCAATGATAGCTTTACGTTTATCCTCATTGACAGTGTCAGAGAGGTCACTCACAAATTGTTCAAAAGTATCGTATAGTGTGTGAATGTCCATCTCATCCACATTTTTGGCCTGTCTCATGTGAGAGCACAACTTCTTCCATTCGGAGGTGAAGAAAAGACAAAAAGAAGACATTTAGCAGAAGCAGAAACTGGAGTGTTTGGGTGAAATTCCAGAAGCACTTTTGGAGCTCTAATTTACTCTCAGAATCAGTTATTTTAGAAGTTGGGAGGTATCCGCTTCTGAAAACTGATTTTGATTCTGCTTCTACTAGGTTCCAAACATATGAAAGATAATAAAAATATCTTTAATATGATATAATTTTTGTTAAAATCAAGTTATAATTTAAAAAGTTAAATCAATTTTTAAATAAAAACATTTTATATGAATTTACCTTTTATCTCTTCCTAACTTTTTGGTAAGTTGTAAGGCTCCAACCGTTACCACATTAAAGGATTTTCAAAAAAAATTACTCTACTACCCTTCATTAGCCTACGTAGGGATTAGATTGTGAAAGAGTATTTGTTCAATGTTTGCACTCCCATCATAAGTCCGTGCATCTCATCCATTTATGACCTTTAATTTATTAAGATGTATGGTTAAGATTTGTTCTCATTTCTTACGATAAGGAGTGTTCTCATTAGAACCACTCCATATATATATATATATATATATATATATATATATATATATATATATATATATATATATATATATATATATATATATATATATATATATATATATATATATATATTATTTACCCCTTATTCTTCCAAAGTTAGGAATATTTAAACTAGTTTTCTTCTTTATCTTTTGCCCCAAACTCCCAAAGAATCATGATTTTATACCCATACCAACTACCAATGTTCTAAAAGGCGCTAGGCGCTAGTCGGGCGCCAGTCCAGCGCCTAGCGCCTAGGCGGCTAGGCGGACGCTTAGTCGGGGACTAGTCGGACACAAAGAAATTGCATTTTTACTTATTTTTGCACAAATATGATAAGTAATATTGTATTTTTGTGTGTATAAAATACATATTGAAAGATAGAATTATCACATTCAATCATACGTAGTATATGATAACTAATCACTTAACTTCATTATGTTATAAATATAAATAATGATAAAAATTAGGTATATATACAAACATGTATAGTTTTATCTTAATTTACAACTTCATTTCTTCATATCCATATCTAAAGTTAAAGTATGTATATCACTAAGAAAATTAAAATTAAAAAGTAAAGTAATGTTCGACGAATCTAGACGACCTAGGCGGCCGATTAGGCGCTCTAGGCGGGCAACTAGGCGCCATAGGCGGCCGACTAATTCACCTAGACGGCAAACCAATTAGTCGGAGCGCCTAGACGAAAATCGGGGCGCCCGGCCACCGCTTAGCGCCTAGGTGGGGACTAGTCGGGCGCCTAGAACGATTTTTAGAACAGAGCCAACTACTCTCTCTATCCCAAATTGAGTTGCAGATTTGGTTTTTTGAGTCAAACAATTTCATTTTATTCATTTAATTAGAATATCAATTTTTAATTAAATTTTAATTTAAACTTTGCAACTTTAGAGATTTTAATGTAATTCTGAATATGCAAATTTAATCATTAAAATTAAAATTAAATTATTTACAAAACAATTTGGAGCGGAGGTAGTTTCATTATACTTCCTTCACTTTGTCAATAATGCAAGAGTAAAAGATATTCTTTAATACGCATTTCAACAAATTCATTTAAAATATGTTTGGTAAAATTGAAAATGGCTAAATCTGCTAAAATGAATTATTGAAGTGTTTAACTAAGTCTGAGTTGTGGAAAAATATATTTTATCAAATAAAGAAAAGATTTTATGAAAAATAGCTAGAATGACTATCTACAACAATTTCAATCAATTCAGCTAAAAAATTACTCTAGCATTATTTATTTTGATTATTACATATTTCAGCGTGCGAAATCAAAAGTTACATGTTCGATGAAAGTGTTGATCAATAATCTGAATAACAAAATAGGCTCTTACAATCTTACTCCATCTAAATATTTCTCTCAACAAATGAGCTATTATTTTTACCTCTTTATCTTCAAAAAAAGAAAAAGAGAATAATCTGCAACATTTATCATGACCAATTTCTTGCAGTTTTGATATCATATACTCGTATCATTCATACAAAGAAGAGAATGAATAACAGGGAAAATGCATATGGGCCGTGGGAATGGGCAAATGGACACCACCCCAACAGGGAAAATCGACCCACAGCTTGGATGGAATCCTCCCACACCACATCAACAACATACATACAGAATATATAAGTTGCAGTGGGAAACCCAACACATGTTATCATCAGTTCTAACACAAACCTTAGAAATCATATTGAAATCATGCCTTGTTTTAAACGTCTACGAACGTGAGGTACCGAGTACCACTGTAAAACCCAACGTATTAAGCCACACAATTAGTTATATCAGCACTCAAGACTCAAAAAACTCCAATCACACATAACGGACGAGGTATTTGTGTCTATCAGCATTCTCTATTATACTCTGGTTAATGGGCAGCCAATCCTGCTCAAGAGCAAAATTCACAATACCCCATGGAGACTAGAAGCTAAACTACCTGACAAAATGTGTGAAGAAATGTGCAGTATATGAGCATAAAAGCATTAACAAGAGCTCTGCTTAAAAAAAAACTTATGCACCAAGCAACTAAAAGCCCTTCGACCGATTCAACATGACTACTTGTGGTTTGGCACAAAAACGATGTCTGCTAAAAACACTAGGTTCTAGACGAGTGACAGACTGGATCGTTTGCTACACAGATGAGGCGAGCCATAAAAGTCATTCTTAATGTGATTTTTATTTTCAAAAGGTGTCCAAAGAATTTAAATTAACTTAAACCATCAAATAAATTTTAAAAACAGCTACAGCTGGTACTTTCAAATTTTAATATTTTCATTCTCATTTGACTTAGAAAAGACATATGATAGGGTACCTCGAGAATTCCTTTGGTGGGCCTTAACTAGAAAAAGCATATCACGTAAGTATATCAGTATCATCATGGATATGTATGATGTTTGTACTACAAATGTCCGCACTAGTGTAGGGAGGACCGCAGGATTCTCTATTACTATGGGAGTGCACCAAGGATCAGTTCCGAGTCTTTTCTTATTTGTTATAGTCACAAATGAACTTACGAAGTCAATTCAAGAAGATATACCGTGGTGCATGATGTTTGACGACGATATTGTATTGATTGATGAGACGCAATTCGGTGTCAAAGCGAAGTTGGAAGTATGACGACAAACAATGGAGACCAAAGGTTTCAAACTGAGCCGAAGCAAGAGTGAGTATATGGAGTGCAAGTTTGGTGGAGGTAGAAGTAGTAGCAACAGTGGGATTACTCTTGATGGTAAGGAGATACTGGTGTGTGATATGTTCCGTTATTTAGGCTCCATAATTCAGAAGAATGGTGAATTAGATGGAGATGTATGTCATAAATTTAGAGTTGGGTGGATGAAATGGAAGAGTGCATCAGGATTTCTATGCAATCGAGGTATGCCCACTAGATTGAAAGGTAAATTTTATCGAACAATTAGGCCTACATTAATGTATGACGTAGAATGTTGGGCGGTGAAGCAATGCCACATTCTAGAAATGCGTTTGGGCATGCGTTTCTGCCACATTCTAGAAATGCGGTGGTTTGGGCATGTGCGGAGAAGACCGAGTAATGCACCTATTAGATGACTTGAGGGGTGGGGAGACAGAGAAGAGAGGGAGGGGAAGACCCAAACAAACTCAGATTAGAGGAATCAGAATTAATGAGTCTTCTTGGGTTGGATGTGAGTATGACTTTGGAGAGAGCAAAGTAGAGGGCACACATGAATGTGGACGATTGATGTCTTTTCTACATTTCCTCTCTCTTTTCTTTTATCGTTTATCTTTTTATATTCTTAAGTTATTTTTATCTTCTAGCTTTTTATGCTCTTTTATCTTTCTTATATTCTTATAGTATTGTTATCTTATATTTATTGAGGTAAGGGTCAGATTGGTACTCGAAGTTGCATAAAAAGGGTCAATTAAGTCCTTACTGCCCTGCCGTCGTCATTTGAGGCGGTTCCCGGTGGAATTTTTTGACAATTTTTTTTGAGCATCTTATTCGTTAAGTCTAGTTTACTCATACCAAATTTCAGCTAAACTTTCAATCGGGAAAACATTCAAATGAATTCTTGAAGATAACTGCGCTTTTAACTGCGCAGTTATCTTCAAGAACTCATTTGAATGCCTTCCCGATTGAATTTTTAGCTGAAATTTGGTATGAGTAAACTAGACTTAATGAATAAGATTCTCAAAAAAATTCGTCAAAAAATTCCAGCGGGAACCGCCCCAAATGGCGACGGCCGGACAGAACCTCCTACATAAGGACTTATTCGACTCTTTTTATGCAACTTCGAGTATCAATCTGACCCTTACCTCTATATTTATTTATCTTTATTTTATGGGGTAATTTGAGTTTGCACTCATTTTATTGTCCAAATTGGAATTTGCACTCTATTTCTAAAAACCTTTGTTTTTGCACCCCAACCCCGTATGAAAAGACAAAAGCTCCCCTTAATCAGGAATATGTTGAAAGCCAACATGATTGTAAATGGAGGGGCATTTTTGTCTTTTCATACGGGGTTGGGGTGCAAAAACAAAGATTTTTAAAAACGGGATGCAAAGTCCAATTTGAAAAATAAAATGGGGTGCAAACTCAAATTAGCCCTTATTTTATCCGTTTTATCTTACTTTTTTTCATCCTTGTCTGTCTCTCTGTTTGGCATCGATATCATAGATTGATTCATGTTAACCAAACCCAAATTCTTTTGGGATTAAGACTTGGATGTTGTTGTTTGCGGTAAAACCACTACATCGTATTTCAGACTACGTTGGTACATGCTTTGTGTAACACATAACATTTTCTTTGACCATTTGAGCTTTCCATTCTACTTCATTCCAACTAGGTTTTTACATCTTCAATGCGCACTTTCTTGAGCCTTTACTACCTACCCCATCCCCTGAACTGCTAAGCATAATGATGCTTGTAGACTTGTTGTGTAACTGTTAGAATAATAGTTCTGTGTTAGGAACCTGCTAATAATCCAGTCCAAAAGTAATGGAAGAACACACAGATCTGATAACAAAGAGGGAAATAGGCGTATATTGATAGTGAATGTCTCAATTTGGGCAACAGGGCAACTTCGGCAACCGGACTCTCAAGGCAACAGTACATCCAAATAACAGTCTGCCTACAATAGTTATCCCCCCTTCTATTTATAGCTATTATCCATCAGGATATGCCCGATATTACTAATACCCTTTCCCTTCTAATAATACTACTACAAGTACCCTTACTAATATCTGGGTTATTCACTCGGCAAGTACTCAGCGAGTACTCGGTGAGTACTCCCTACTCGGCCTATGACCTTGCAGAGTAGCACATTACTCGGCCCGAGTTATTATTCCGAGTTACTCGCCGAGTACTCGGCGAGTTAGCCAACTCGGTCAGTGGGTCAAAAAGGCGATTTACTCGGGAGTACTCGGTATGTAAAAAAAACATTACCTCCGCTTGGAAAAAAATTAAATTGAGATTATCCTCTGTGTTATTTCTTATTCTCCCTCATGTTGCCTATTATATTCTTCTCTGTATACTGTAATAAACTCTGAGAATTTTGGATTGTTCTTCGTTTGCTTGTGCTTCTTAAACCGGTGTTTTCATTGTACATTTTCAAGTCTTTGGCCAACTAAAGTGAATGTATTGAATGTACCCCTGAGAACTGAGTTGTTGAATGCTGAAATAAAATCTCTTGATTGAAAAGGTGAAAAATATAGCTTAACAAAAAAGCATCATGTTTGGTTTTGGGTGAGCTGCAATTTTCATTTAGGGAACTACCTTTGAGGACTAGTTGTTCGGTAGGTGCCACTTTGAAGTTACTTTGAAGTTCTTCAATTGGAATAAGAATAGGTGCCAAAAAATTGCAGAAAATATTTGCCTTTTCTTCCAATGCTCGTGCTTCTTGAAGTTGTATTCTGGTATTGTATACGTATTATATGCATTTTAAGACAATTTCTATCCTTTTATTCACTTCTAAACATTTTAAGACAATTTAAAGACAATTTTATTACTATATTTTAAGACTACTATATTTAAATATATTTTTTATATTTAATTAATACTAGGCCGAGTAATCACCGAGTAATCCCTAGTAATCGGCCATACTCGCTACTCGGCCCTTGACCGAGTAGCTACCGAGTAGCGAGTAAACTACCTATAATATTATTATTATTTCTTATTAATAGCCAGATTCCTATTATTACTCCCCCTGAACAACCACCTTGTCCTCAAGGTGGGTGATAAGAATCAGCCATGATCATCTTCCACTTCCGCTTCATTCTTGCACCTCTCCCTTCCCAATATCTCCTAGCTTGCTTGACCATGACCTTCATTGCTTGACCTTTCATCTTCACATCTTTCACAGCAAACAGGGGCAGAAACTGGATATAAGAACTTCCTGGGATTACCCTTGAAGCCTCTTCTTTGTAACCCATATCATCATATAAAGGTTCTGCAAGATAAAATCCAGCTGCCCTTGTAGTAATTTCAGCTGCCAGATCTTCATCATAATTCAGCAGTATCTCCCCTAAAATAGAAAGAATCTGAGGGGTTTCATCTCTAAAGGGATCACATACAAACAAACTATAACCTTTTGAAGGGCACCCATCCAAACTGGAACTGTTCTCTCAGTAGACCTCCTTAGGACTTCCATAAATACTGGATAAGAAGCCTTCAGGATCTCACATTTGGATATAGCAAAGAGGCCCCAAATCAAGCTAATCACTTCTAGTCGTATATCCAACTCATCTGTCTCTTCTTTGGATTGCATCATAGGAGAATTATAAGTGTAACCTGCCCATTGATAAGCTCCATAAGGATTTTTTATTCCATCCAGCAATTCCATAGCAACCTTGATTTTATTAGCAACTTCAGGCCAGCTCACTCCTGAATATGAAGAGTTCCCGACTAGAAGCCTAACAATCTTGTTTTCTGACAGAACGATTTCTTGAATAAATACAACCTCAGATGAGAAGCATAGTGACTGCTGCAATGACACTCTTACTTGATCAAGTTCATTATTAACAGTACTTGGCAGAAAGTACCAAATTGCAACCTTCAACATCAAACACTAAAAACTGGTAAATTTCAAAACCAGGTTTAAAGATAGATTTCCTTAACCCAGAAAGATTACTATGATCATATAAATGTTCTGGAAGAATCATTTCTTTAAAACCATTTGGAGCATCAAGAGTAACTAGATTAACGGTTCCAGAACTGACATTTCCCAATGTAACCAATATCTCAGAACATGATACCCTGAGTTTATTTTAGAGCTAGGATCTATCCCAAACTCATACGGTGTAACCAAGCTTTGCATTCCATTGTAGACCCGAACAAGGCAACCCTGCTTTTCATTCTTCATCCATCCCTGTGTCATTAATCCTTCAGTAGCATCAATGTAAACTGATTCGTGAAATGCAATATTCTGTGGATCATCCTCCAACAAATTCCTTCCCAAGGCACTC